TCAAGTTAATTTATTTCACGATACAAAGTGATGAACAAAGATAATCAAAGTAGGAATTTATCGACCAATAAGAGGGAATAAGACTTAAAGATAAACCGTAAGGTTTAAAATATAAGGTTTACATTGAAAAACAAGTTAATCGTTCTTACAAAGTTAGTAGAAAAAGACAAACGGCCATAAATATGCCACAATATTTTAGCTTTCTTTTTTGGCACCAATTAAGATCTTTGATTTATGGACCTTTATAAACACAATTTTAAGGTTGTCGGTTATACACAATTTAATCTACGATCATCGGTTCAACTTTTATAACCATACCTCTTCCTACTTCTGGTGGTACTGAAGACACTAAAAGATCATCCACAAAAACATATATTAATAAACATTAGAAATGAAAATTCGAAATTTGAGCAGTAGAGCACTTTTCCGTGTTTTCATAGCCTTATCTAAACACAAGGGGGATTTGGAAAATTCGAGACAGTTATACAAACCTCGTCTGCGTCTCGGGTTTGCACAACTTTCGAGAATTCTCCCAACCCAGTGTTTAGATGAGGCTATGTCTTCACGGAAGAGTTCTCTATTGCCTTTATAAAATATTTCTAAAAAATATGCACGAGTCTAAAACGTCACAACCGTGTTTACATACTCTCATCTCAACACACCTATCAGCCAATGAGACTGCACGAAGTATCTCGCGTAGTTTTAGAATAAAGATATAAAACTTGATTAGATCGTTATTACCTGGTGTTGAAACTTGGGCCAAGACTGATGCTTGACTTTTCCCGACTTGATTGGCACTTTGGACGGTGAATTGATATTCTGTTTCAGGGAATAATCCTTGTATCGTGCAAATGTTGTTGTCGGGATGTCCAACAACTTCTTCCACTAAATCTGCGCCACTTCGTTTCACACGATAAAGTACTGCAAAATCTACAGGGTAACCACCACTGTAACCTGGAGTCCAGCTGACATTGACGCACACAGTTTTAGCGCCATCTACTTGAAATGCCACCAGTTTCACTCGCGTTGGAGCATCTGGAACACCTGTCAACAAAATAATACATTCAATCCTTTCAGACTGAAGTAAAATGCTTTTTCTATTGAAATTTATGGAGGTAATCCACCACGAAGACATCGTGTTTTCAAACCTTACAAATCATTAATTATCATGATCTAGTCGACAAAAAATAGGGACCTTGTAGGGTCTTGTAGCTTAGATGTAACTGAGTCTATACAGTTCACATGTAACCTGGTGGATCTTTTTTACCTATCACAAAAAGCTGTCAATCCTAGCTGCAATTTAATTCGTTCTACGATCACGATGTCCCGACCTAGTACTCTGAGTGTTAAGGGGGTTTGGAATTTTTACCCTTGGAATGGGTTGCGGTTATTTCATTGATGATGATCATGATGATGATGTAATATATCAAACACGAGAGATAGTGTTTCATCGGGATATCCAAACACCGAGAAGAGAGTTGAAAATACGACGCGCAGGGAGTTTTGACGAAATTCGAGGTGTTTGAATAGCCAATAAAACACCGTCTCGAGTGTTTGATGTTTCTTCTCAATCGAAACAAAAACTAAGGAGTAAACGGAGGAGTAAAATCGTCAAGTTAAATGCTATTTCAGACTGGGTATCCAAACCTCCTTTACGGTTGTGATTTTCTTTGTTGAAACTTGATGAATTATTAATGAGTTTGAGAAGTCCCAATCAATCTCGGCCTTAAACTACATTTCAGTGAATATATAACATAATGCCTGTGCAAACTAGCAAATCTATAAATAATAACACGTGTAAGTAACACGGTAGCTGTTGTTAAAACTGAATATCAATTGATCAGAGTCGTTCTACTTACCTCTTTTTCTTATTGTGTATTTCTGGTTATCACTTCCAACTAGGTTTACAGCAACACAATAGAACGTCTCACCAACAGTACTAACAGTGACTTTCATAACACTGGTGTCATTCTTTACAGTGATGCTCTTAACTTGGTCATCATGTAATGAGGTTAGATCAGTTCCATTAAGTTTTCTTTTCCATGATAAAGAAGGAGCAGGCTTGCTAGTGGCAGTGCAAGTTAAAGCTACTTGCTCACCCTCAGCGCCGGGTATTTGGGTGACTGCAGTGGAGGTTGTCACAATCACTGGACGGGCTATAACAAATTATATGCATAGAAGACAAATATATATCAGTAAGTATATAAACATCTC